TCAACCTCCTATAACTCCACCTCCAGGGGATCCAATACCTCTAGCCTCCACAGTCACCTGTACACATGAGCACATACCCTCCCCCATAAATGAGAAGAATAAATTCTTTTTTTTTTTAAATATTTATTTATTATGTATACAGTATTCTGCCTGTGTGTGTCCCTACAGGCCAGAAGAGGGCACCAGATCTCATAACAAGTGGCTATGAGCCACCATGTGGTTGCTGGGAATTGAACCCAGGTCCTCTGGAAGAAGAGTCAGTGCTCTGAATCGCTGAGCCATCTCTCCAGCCTGAGAAGAATAAATTCTTAAAAAAAAAAAAAAAACCCTCAGGTTATCAAGACTTAGCAGCAAGCCCCTCCACCTGCTGAGCCACCTTGCCATGCTCGATGCAAATTTTTGTTTTTGTCTTTTGCTGTGCTGGGAATCGCTAATACCTAATACCCTAAGCCTGCTAGGCAAGTGCTCTACTGTTGAGCTACATCCTGGACCTCCCTTTATACTTTTTATTTTCAGATAGGGCACTCCTGTATTAAGTTACCCAGGCTAGCTTGAACTTACTCTGTAGCCCCCAGTAGACCTTGAATTTATCACACACACACACACACACACACACACGCACGCACGCACGCACGCACGCACACGCACACGCACACACACATGCACGCACGTACGCACACACCCCGCCACTGCCTCAACCTCCTGAGTAACTGGATTGGCAGGTCTGGATACAAGTGTGTGACTTTGAAACAAGCCTTATGACAGAGCTGTTTAGCATCCTATGCTTTAGATGAAAAATGGCTGTACATCTACACTTACACGCATTAGGTCTTTTTAACAGCCTCTGTGCTGTAGCCGTACTTATTACAGCATTTCATGGGCAGGAAGTGAGGGCAGAGAGACCTTTGAGCTGAAGATGAAGGCGCTTGCCCACAGTGAGTTTGTCTGCCAAGTGGACACTACATTGAGGACGGAAGAAACCACATGCGAGGCGTGGGGGCATAGTACCCCACTATCCCGATCCTACACACATCAGTGGCATGCGTCCCCAGATGACAACAAATGGGACTTTTAAATGGAAGTAGTGAACCTGCTGCAATCTGCCTGGAACATGCCATTTTGGAGGGCTCAATTTCTGGACCCCCACGCTCCAGAGGAAGAGTATAAAGTAAGTGTGTAAATGAACAGGATCGAGAAAAAAAAAATCAATAAGCCTACATCCAGGCTGGTGAGATGGTTCAGCAAGGAAAGGCACCTGCTGTCAAGCCTGAGGATCTGAGTTCAAGCCCCCGGCCCTCAACACAGCAGAAGGAGAGAACCAGCTCCTGCCAGTTGTCCTCTGACCTCCACGTGCACACTCTGACACTCCCCCCAAATAAATAAATAAGAAATAAATAAATAAATAAATAAGAAATCAAACAAAGGACTGTAAGTGGGTCAGTGATGAACAATAAAGCCATGTCAGATGGGACCCCGGAGAGACATCAAGATTCCAAGACGAGAAAAGACCCAGGAGCTGTAGAATTCCCTAGAAATGACTGAGATGTTAGGACAAGTCAGGGTTCTTGGATTTCCTCAATTTCCCCCTTCTAGTCCCCTGGAGCAGATTGGGATTTGCTAGCTCAGACTAGGATACTTACGGGCCTTATGTAAACAGTACTGTTGCTAAAATTTCTCCCCATGGGGATATAGAGGTTCAGCAACATGGACCCCTCTGTCCAAGGGCCCAATGACAAACCATGGTACAACTCCACCAGTTCTGGGGCATCCATTGGTTTATTGGGCTTCCTTACCAAGCCGACATGAGGCTTCTTATGGGGAGTGTGTGTGTGTGTGTGTGTGTGTGTGTGTGTGCTCCTCTTCGAAAAGGGCACACTGGGAAGTCTTTACCCAGCAGGACTGATGGTTCCCCATAGCTGCATAGATGGAGCCTCACTCCCCAAATCTTTTCCCACCTATATCCTCTAGGCCCTCATCAAGGCCATGCGCAATTGGGGCAGCCTTGCACACAGCAAGTGACAGGGAACAGCTGGATGCTGGAACAGCTGGATGCTCAGGTGAGGTCCTGCGACCCAACCCTTCCTTCTCCTCTCTGATGGCAGCCAACAAGCCCAGCTGGGAGAATCTTTTGCAAGCAAGTGGGTACCGCTGAGTCCTCCCCGCACCCCGCAAGATAGAGGTGGTTTGGCTTGGAGGACAGTCCTGTACAACAGGTCCCCCACTCCCCTTACGTAGACTGAGTCTGGTACCCACACTCCACATACGAAGCTGTGCCATCTCCTCTCCCGCCCAGCCAGCTAGAAGGATCCCAAGTCTTTTCTCCCTCCTCTCCCTCCCCTTGCTCCCCAGCCTGATGATGCTTTGGTTTGGTGTGGTCCAAATATCCCCAAGGGTTTACATGTTCAAATTAAATCCCCACTCCCAGCGATTAAGAGGGTGGAAACTTAATCCAACTATAGCGTGTAGAGGTTGGGCCTTGGGGAGGGGACCAGGATTAGAAAAGGTCACTAGCTTGAATCCCGGTGGCTTTATACAAACAGAGAGACGCAAGAACACACACATACTCTTTTCCTACGGGATACCCCATGCTGGCCTCAGGACTCTGCCAGCAAAAAGCTGTCACCAGATGTAGCCCTTGACCTTGAACCTCTAACCCTGTGTTTCATTATGAGTTTCTTGTCTCGGTAGCTCCCCAGCCTGTGCTGCTGTCCTGTTGGCAAGCAAAGGTGGATTCTTAAAAGTGGTCCGTCAGCTCCTCCCAGGTTAGGGTACCTCATGGTGTGCCAGCCCTGCCTTGGGGCTGGGCTCCAAAGTGGGCTCCTGTCTGTCTTTCCGATCTCTGAGACTTGCCCTTCTCTCTCGCATGGTTTTGGCAACCCTGCCTCTTCTCTTCCTGGAACAGGAACAGGTCATGTTTATGTTTTGTCTGGCTCATTCATACTTCTTCCTGAACCATCACCTTGGGTGGCGTTTCTGCAGTGACTCTTCCCCTCCTCACGAAGTCCCTTCATCCACTGAGGAAGCTGAGACAGGAGGATCGCTGCAAATTCAAGGCTAAGGCATCGTCTAGAATACTATATACAGACCAAGAGAATGAAGAGATATGGCAATCCGGGAACCTAAATATTTTTTTAAGTCTTTTTTTTTTTTAAAGATTTATTTATTTATTATGTATACAGAAGAGGGTGCCAGATCTCATTACAGATGGTTGTGAGCCACCATTTGGGTGCTGGGAATTGAACTCAGGATCCCTGGAAGAGCAGTCGGTGTTCTTAACCTCTGAGCCATCTTTCCAGCCCCGGGAACCTAAATATTTGTGAAAAGAAAAAAAAAAAAGAACAAACATTTTTGAAATTAGGAACCCAGCTGAGGATGATAGTGGGCAAAATCTTTAATTAAATCATCCCAGGATAAACCGGGGTTTTCTTTGTTCTGCCTGCTAAGGTCTTTCCTATGTAAAATGTTAGGCCAGTGAAGAAAATGAGGCCAGAGAAAGTTGTACTAAAATTTTTACCAGACTATCTTTTTTAAAGCTTCATTTTTATTCCTTATTGAAGTATAATTCTAAGTTATGGGCCCACCTTAGATGTCTATCCACAGAGGAATGGGTAAAAAAAATATGGTTCAAGTTCCAGTGAAATTTTACTCTATAAAGAAAAATGAAGTTATGTTGTTTGCAGGAAAATAGATGGAGATTATTATATGTCTCATCTATGAGTCTCAGAAAGACAAATATCCCATGTTTTCTCTCATTTATTAATCATATATTATGTATATTAACAGCTGTATGAAAGTATAAAGATATAGGTAATATCTTTTAATATTTATATATATAACATGGAAGTATAAGAGAAATTCTCCAGAGGAATGAAGGGGACAAGAGGAGTGAGGAGGGCATAGGGTACACTGTCAAAATACATTATAGGGGACTAGAGAGGTAGCTCAGTTGTTAAGAGAGCTTGCTGCTCTTGCAGAGGACCTGAGTTCAGTTCCAAGCACCTACATCATGTGGCTCACAGCCTTCACAACCTAATGTAACTTCAGCTCTGTGGAGTCTGATGCCCTCTTCTGGCCTCCGAAGACATCTACACACACACACACACACACACACACACGCACGCACGCACGCACGCACGCACGCACGCACGCACGCACGCACTGATATATATATACATACATACATACATATACATATATATATGTATATATATTTAAAAGTACATTATATATTTTTATGGGAGAAATCCTTGTGAAACCCAGTATTATGTACAATGAACCTTTCCCTTTATTGCCTTCTGCTCAGCCAGTGGCCACAAATAATCTCTCCATTACTCCAAAATTACATGTTCTTGGCCCCACAGTCCCTCCTCAGAATTGTTTCATTGAACATTTCTTGTGTTTTTTACTGAGCACCATCCTCAGGAGGCCACCCAGTCCCGAAGCTAACTATATTAACCATTTGTGGGAGGAGAGTAGCTGCTGTAATGAAGAGACCCTGACATGGGTGGGCTCCAACAAGAGACAAGCAGGCTGTTGTACTCTACAGTGGGCAGAGACATCCTCACTGGCACTTCCTGTATCCTCAACACTACAGGGAATGCTGGGAAAGTAGAATCTGCAGCTGGGTGGGAACCCAAGGTCCCTGGACATATGGATGAGTAGGCAGAACACATCTGCTCTGTTGCTACCTGTGACTGGTGCCGTGTGCCACACAGTCTGCTCCCCTCTACCATATCTGCTGTGATGGGTGACAATCTTCTGGCCTCCTCTACCTATCTTTGAGTTATTGGGTCTCAATATGTAGCCTAGGCAGGTCTGGAACTCACAATCCTCCTTCCTCAACCTCCTAAGTGTGATGTATTCATAGACATTAGCCACCATGCCCAACTCAACCTGCCGCCACTCCTCCTCCTCCTCCTCTCCTCCTCTTCCTCTTCTTCTTCTCCTCCTCCTTCTCTCCTTCCTCTTCCTCCTCTTCTCCTCCTCCTCCTCCTCTTCCTTCTTCCTCTTCTTGGTGCTTATTGATAAATATTCATTGATTCTCAAAAGACTTAATATTTGAATCCTTACTCTTAAACTTGTAACTTACAGACCGGAAGCAATGGTTCAGCGATTAAAAGCACTTGTTGCTCTTGCAGAAGACCCAGGCTTGATTCCCAGCACCCACATCGTGGTTGTTAATCATCAGTTAACTCCAGTTCAAGGGGATCAGATGCCCTCTTCTGGCCTCTGCAGACACTGCAGGCACATGGTGACCAGCCATAGATGCTGGTAAAACACACACACACATAAAAATAAATATTTTACAAAATGTATAATTGCACAGCCCAAGCTTCAACCACCACTAGATAAAGCCATTCATTCAATCACATATTGATGACCATCGGAAACAATTAAGGGATGCATTCACATAGCCAAGGGTAGGGATAGAGGTGGAGCCTCCACACAAGAAATGCCTGGGGGTTCAAGAATCTGGATGGCTCAGTGGATCTGGTGATGGGGATCAGCTAGGAGATGACATTAAGAAGGGGTGGGGGGCCGGTGCAATGGGGTCTCCTCACTCATAGCTACCTTAGACCTCTATTCTGAGCATCATGGCAGCTTGTGGAAGGCTGTCTTGGAGTGTCTAGATTTGACATGCCCGGGATGGCAGCACTGGACTGAAATTTGCAAGGCAGGAAGCAGTTAGCAAATGATGGGGGATATCTAGGGAAAAGAGCCCTGGAAGGCTCCAGATCTACACCTCCAGCCTTGGGATCTACACCTCGGCAAGTGGGGCTGAGTGAACCATTTGGGCATCATTCTCCTCAAACTTGTTTCTATTTCTCTGGAGTCCTTTGTGTGCTTGTCTATGAGGAATTAGGCTTTTGTGACGTTTTATTTAGCTATATGTCTGTGGAATTTTTTTTAAAAAGTTTTTTTTTTCTAAAGTAAATCTTTGGGGAGAATTTTAAAAAAGGCATTATGCCTGGCGGTGGTGGCACATGCCTTTAATCCCAGCACTTGGGAGGCAGAGGCAGGTGAATCTGTGAGTTTGAGGCTAGCCTGGTCTGCAAAGCAAGTTCCAAGTCAGCCAGGACTGTTACACAGAAAAACCCTGCCCCCCTCAAAAAAAAGCATTACATTGTTTTTCCTCAAGTAAATAAATCCTTTGGGGGAAGCGAAACGTAGCAGCTTCTTTTCTCGTTACTGTGACAAAATGCCTGAGGAAAGCAATGTAGGGATGTAAGAGTTTATTGTGGCTCACAGTTTAAGGGCACACAGTCCATCATGGCGGTGAAGTCAGGCAGCAGGAGCGTGAGGCGGCTAGGTACACAGCATCTGTAGCCATAAAGCAGAGAGAGATGAATGGGGGTGACTCCCTTTCTCCTTTTTAATTCAGCCCAGAGCCCTAGCTCATGGAATGGGGCTGCTCCCATCCAAGTAGGGTTTCCCTGCCTCATTTAACCCAATCTAGAAATTTCCTCAGAGATATATCCAGAGATTTGTCTCCAAGACGATTCTAGATCCTGTCAAGGTGACAATCGTTATGAATGATCACATTCACATTCACAGCCACCTCACTCAATTGTTCTCAACCGATTGATGGTTACCTGAGACAAGGGATGCCAGCCAGGTTGTACTGAGTCCCTCTGCATATCCAACACTTCCTGTGTACTCTTCTTGAGTATCCCTCAGCATTCCCCTGGGTACATCTGTGGTCCATCCGTATCAGGCAGAAACAGGGGACCTCAGGCCAGGAGCGGCTTGCCCAGTATCACACAGAGAGCCAGTGTACCAGAGGTCAGCCCGAGTCACTCACTCTGACTCAACAAAGCTCTCAAGGCTGAGAGAAGACACTTTCAAAACCCAGGAGACATGGGAGATAGAGACCCCAAACTCCACGGTGTTCTGTGGGTGGCTGAGGATAACTGATTTGATCTGGGAGATTTGACCCAAAGCAAGACCAAATCTCCCCCGCTTTGCAAAATCATCCTGAATGCCAATTTCTTTGTCTGCTTCCCCTGTTCTTTGCCTATCCAGTTCAAAGCAACTACCCCAAAGAAATTGGCAACAATATCCATCATAGAATAAACAACAGTGGTATGCGTGGTGATCTTGTGTTCCCCCAAATATTGTGCACCCTAAGAAACTTATTTGGGGTCATAGAGCAGAACAGCCACTAGATAGACATAGAGGCCAGAAAATGGTGGCACACATGCCTTTAATCTTATCACTTGGGAGGCAGAGATCCATCTGGATCTCTGTGGGTTCAAAGCCACACTGGAAATAGCCAGGCATGGTGATTCATGCCTTTAATCCCAGGAAGTGAGCATTTAATCCCAGGAAGTGATGGCAGAAAGCAGAAAGGTATATAAGGAATGAAAACCAGGAACTAGCGCCTGGTTAAGCTTTTAGGCTTTTGAGCAACAGTTCAGCTGAGATTCATTCTGGATGAGGACTCAGAAGCTTCCAGTCTGAGGAAACAGGATCAGCTGAGGAATTGGCAAGGTGAGGTGGCTGTGGACTGTACTGTCTATCTGATCTTCCAGTATTTACCCCAATACCCAGTTCTGGTTTGTTTTTATTAAGACCTTTTAAGATTCATGTTACAGGTATGATAGTTTGAATGTAATTAGCCTCCCCAAAAGCACTATTAGGAGGTGTGGCTTTGTTGGAGTGGGTGTGGCCTTGTTGGAGGAAGTGTGTCACTGTGGGGGGATGGGCTTTGAGGTTTCCTATGCTCAGGATACCCCCCAGTGTTTCAGTAGACTTCCTGTTGCCAGCAAAATGTAGGACTCCCAACTACCTCTCCAGTACCATGTCTGCCTGTACACTGCCATACTCCCCACCCATCATGATGATAATGGCCTGAACCTCTAAAACTGTAAGCGAGCCACCCCAATTAAATGGTTTCTTCATAAGAACTTCCGTGGTCATGGTGTCTCTTCACAGCAATAAAAACCCCAAGACAGTGGGTAACCACATCTACCCTGGCAGACATTGGTACAACCTTCTGCTATGAAGGGATGTTGGTCACAGATAGAGCTCACATCTTCTGTGCCGGGACATCTATAACAACACCACCATGGGGGTCAATCGTCACAATACCCACCTTGGGATGTTGCCTTCTGTGAGCCCTCTGGTGGACGACTCTAGCCACACCTTCCTGGAGCGTGTCCTCCACCCTGGCAGCAAACACAGCTATCCTTGCCCTTCCTCTGCCCTGAGCCCTTAGCAGTACAGGTGGCACACCTTACCCACTCAGCAGCGCCTACCCAGAGCCACGGCCCAACCACAAAGCCCTTCACTCACCACCAATTAGCTTTGTTTGCAGTATAAATAGCAGCCACCTTGAAAAACATCCAATCACTCAAGCTTCAATAGGCGAGGAGCTCCGGGTACACTGAGTGCGCTCCAAAGTGCCGCACTGGCTTTCTGACCAACTGCATCTCAGCTGGGAGGCCAGATGCTGAGCGCAGGACCAGGCCTGACTGAGCTAAGACAACGACCCAGTCTCCACCTCCCCTTCCCCCTCCCTCTTCGGAGCGGGACTTCTGTGGGTACCTGACGGTGGTTCGAATCTGTGACGAACGGGTCTGTCACCAGTGTGTGCTGGCAGAGAGCCGTTCTCCGAAGGCCTCACGCGGGGCACAAAGGCACCTTTTACGTTGCGCGTCTCCCCTCAATGAGTGCCCGACCCTCACGCTTTCTTTGTTTAAAAGCAGAGAAAGATCCCGCTGAAGCAATAGTCAGCCGCGGCCTGAGACTGTGCCAACAATATTAACCAACTTCTCTTCAGAGCCTTTGAAGTTAGCAGGGGGCAACATGCTTGTGGTGCGAGGGAAGAATGATACTTTAAGCGATTCCTTTTCATCCCTTTAACTTGATGAAAGATTAATGGCCTTGTTATTTTTGTTTCTGCTCCTTTTTCCCCCCCTTTTAATTTCTACCCCTCCCTCCCTCCCTCCCTCCGTGGAGACCGAAAAATCCTTTCCCTTGTAATGGTTTTCTGGATCAGTGGGTTTTGTGAATGCAACCTGAACCCCTCTGCCAGCGACCACAAACTGGACCAGCTACTCCGGATCCTATACTCCCAGGTGTCTTCCAGGGAGGGGCTTGGGGGGGGGGCGAGTGAGCAGGTGGGTGGCGGCCCGGGGGCTGGATCTCATTCAAACAATACCACCTCCCCGGGAGAGGGCTACAATACCTTGGCAGGAACTTTTCTTTTTTTTCTTCCTTGAAGGTGTATCCTGGTGCTTTCTGGCACCATCCTGAGAGGCTGGCTGTGGGCCGAATGGCAGGATTTGGAGCCTGAAGGACCCAGTGACTTGGATGGGGGTTGGAAAGCAAAGTAAGAACACGAGGATGTTGGCAGGCCACAGTTTTTCTCCCATCACAGTACCCATTTCCCCAAGTCGGATGGTAGTGGTGGTAGCGGTTTATGATGGTGGTGGTCATCTCAGTTCGTTTTCTTTTGCTGTGATAAAGACACGGGCCAAAAGCACCTCAGGGAAGACAGGGTTTGCTACATCTCACATGGAGGGAACTCAGGGCAGGAATTGAAGCAGGGGCCACAGGGGAATGATGTTTCCTGGCTTGCTCTCTTATGGCTTGCTCAGCCTGCTTTCTTATACAACCCAGGACCCCCTAGCCACAGTGGGCCTTCCCACATCAATCACTGATCCAGTCAATGTACCATAGATTTGCCCACAGACCCATCTGATAAAGACATTTTCTCAGCCGAGGTTCCCTCTTCTCAGATGATCCGAACTTGTATCAAGTTGTCAAAAACACTAGCAGAGTGACGGTGATGATGGTGGTAGTGATGATTGTGGTGGTAGTGGTGGTAGTGATGGTAATGGTGGTGTTGGTGATAATGATTGTGGTAAGGATGATGGTGATGAGGATGATGGTGGTAATAGTGATGATGGTTATGATGATGGTGATGATGGTGAAGATTATGGTGATGGTGATGTGAAGGATGATGGTGAAGAGTATGGTGGTAGTGATGATCATGGTGAAGATGATAGTGATGATGATGATGATGACGATGAAGACAATATACATAGAACTAACCAGAGGATTCAGCATCATGACAGGAACATGTACTGGAACAAAGCAGCCTCAGATAATGATAAATGGGAAACAGAAGGAAAGAGAAGAGTCCAAGGACAAGATACACTCTCAAAGGCACCCCCAAATGACCCTCTTCTTCTCCTTGGACCCCTCCCTTGGTCTTCAGTACCTCCCCACAGTCCATTCAATTATGAGTCCATGTGTGGTTAAGTCAACAGCTGGGTAAGAGCCTTCATCATCCAAACACCCCCTCAGTAGCATCCCTAGCCAAGGCCAGGACTCCAGCACATGAGCCCTTGGGAAAAGTTCCAGATCAAGACCACCGACTGCTTACCTGGTGGATATTCATTGAGTATCCACTGTACTGCTGTGTGGTGGTGGCCAGTGGTGAGCAGATCAGTGACCCATTCCTGAAGAGCGACGGTGCTAGTCTTCACTGTGGCTACTATAATCACAAACACTAACACACATAGACTGGGTTTCAGTAGCAGAGATCCTGAGAGGAACCTGACATGGCTTCAACTCTTTGACCTGCTAAATAAGGCAAAAGGATAGATCTGGATAAAGATGTAAAGAGAATGTTTGGAATAGGGTCAAAGTCCTTATTTCATATAACCATATACTTAGTTTGTGCTTGGCCAATTTGGAGGTTAGTATTACTAAATGAATCCCACTGGAACTGTTCAGAAATCATGTGACTCAGAGTGATGTAACCCCTATTTCTTCACTAGAACTGCTAATCCAATAAAGCATAGTAAATGGGATGTGGTAGCTCACACCTGTAATCCTAACGCTTGGGAATCTAAGACAGGGGGATGCCATGAGTTCTAGACCAGCTAGAGTGACCTAGCAAGACTGTGATTTAAAAATAAATAAATGAAAGCAGATTAATAAGTAAGATATAGTCCTCTCTTATTATTGAAGATACCTGGATATCTTATCAGGTATCCATAACTGCTATTGCAGATCCATCCCATCTACCAATAAAGTCCTCACTTCCATGCCATCGGCTTAGTAAGTGCCCCACACTTTTTCAGACCTGACTCTGGGAAGTTAGAGGATACCGTCTTCCCCAGGATGTTTAGGAACCTCTTTCAGGACCCCAGATGAATGTGCAAGTTCCCTAGCAAGACCTCTGTGAGTGCTGACTGACAGCAAGGTCTGTGAGTGGGAGGGAGCTGTGTAGCTTGGGTTGAAAGCGTCAGAGGGGCAGAAGTCGTGGGGCTCTGCTCTTCTGTGTGTGTGGATATAGGGCATGCAATTACATTTTTTATTGAATTAGTTTCATATGTGATGACTGCAACTTATAAATGATAATTACAAGTTTACATGTCTGTAACCGAGGACTTTCAAAACAATGTAGGTTCATCCAAGTTCTAGATGCATAAAGGATTCTGACATTTGGGTCAATTGTTTTCTTAAACACACGAACACACACACACACACACACACACACACACACACAGAGAGAGAGAGAGAGAAAGAGAGAGAGAGAGAGAGAGAGAGAGAGAGAGAGAGAGAGAGAGGCTGGAGAGATGGCTCAGCAGTTAAGAATTCTTTCAGAGGACTCTGATTCAGTTCTCAGCAACCACACTGAGTGGCTCACAACTACCCATAACTTCAGCTCCAGGGGATCTAATGGCCTCTTCTGACCTCTAAGGGCACTGCCCACACACACACACACACACACACACACACACACACACACACACACCATTCCAATGAAAATACTTGATCAAGAATTCTTTGGAACCTGTGAATCCTAAGTGTGAAGTTTCTGGACCCATTTATGATATTTTTTACCTACCAAAACCAAAGAATCTTGGGAAGTGGGTGATACAGCTTGTCCTAAGACAGGGCTAGTATCTTGTCTCCAGCCAAACAATGGCCATGTTATATGAACAGTTATCTACTCCTGAAAGTACGCCCTAATACATGGTGATCAATATACTCCCTTCTTTTAATAACTCTTGTACATTTCAGATCAGGAACCTCAGTCATCTATGACTGGGAAAATTAAATGAAAGTTTCTGCCATTACACCAAGCCTCCTGCTTAGCAAATCGGTAATGAAAAGGAATAATTTATCACGGCTTGTGAAAGCCGACAGCTCTAAAGAGATGTCCTTCCTCTTCCCCCAAAGGAAGAGCAGAATTCTCTTTTTACCTTCAACGCACTGGCATTAAGCATAATTTCTCTGTCTGTAGAACTTTACCGGGAAAGGGGAGAAGGGATTAGATTCTTACATCACATCCTATTTTAGGCAATTACAATCCACAAGCTTTCTTTCTCTTTCATCCCCCCCTGGGGTGACGGAGAATGAAGAGACACTTCAGGGGCCTCAGTTCCCATTAACGTTTGCATCCCCATTAGCCAACTGAGCTGGAATTCCGTGGCATGGAGCACACCGCTCTCCGGTACTGAGATGCTGTGTCTGACACGAAGAAGGTGTCTGGCTGGCACCACGGCTACAGTCAGCACGTTATATACCCCTAGTCTTCGTGTGCCAGACAGTGAGTGACAAGACTTCCAGCTCTATATGATACCATATGACAGATATTCACATGACTTCTTCCGCTAAAAATTCTGGTGACTTCTCAGCCTTGGGCAAAGGGGAACTGGAATCAGTTTGTCCCAGCCGGTAAGAGCTGACGGCTACATCTTCAGGAATTTTCCTAAGTATTATTTAAAATGACATTCTACACAGATAGGGCATAGGTGTGGGGGAAAGGAATCCTTAGACAGAGTTGGGGGAAGTGTAATGAGCGCAGCCCCTGATGAGATTGCTGCGAAGGGGCCTCACAAATCTCAAACTTGACCTAACCATATGGCCTCGGTGTAGCACTGCTAGGACTCTTAAGTCAACACATCTGGGTATGTTGTGGCGCTATCCACAGCAGCCAAGACATGGAAACAGCCTCGGTGCCCATCACCAGATGCACAGATAAAGAAATGTGGTGTGTGCACAATGGAGTTTTATTTTGCTATAAAGAAGAAGGAAACTATGTCATTTGGGGGAAATAGGGGAAACTGGGGAAGAGATTATGATGCTAAGGAAAATAAGACAGATTAATAAAAGAGGAAAATGTCTCTGTGTGTTTCCAATGTGCCAAACACACACACACACACACACACACACACACACACACACACACACGACATGGAAGTAGAAGGCTTCAATTTGGGAAGAAGAAGGGAGCCAGTCAAAGTAGAGAACAAGGACAATAAAGGGTAAGGATTGAATAAGATCCAATACATGATAGAAATACACCCCACTATCGTGTGCAATGACTACACATTAATAAAAATTAACTTATGTAAGTTTACAATTATGTAAAACATAATACATATTTATTACTTTTCTCATTGATGTGCAAAATGCCTAACAGAAGCAGCTTAAGGGAGAAAGGATCTGTTTTCGCTCACAGTTACAGTCCATCATGGCGGGGGAGGCATGGCAGCAGGAGCATGAGGCGGCTGGTCACATGGCAACCACAGTCAGGAAGAAAAAAAGAGATGGATGCTGATGCTCAGTTCCTTGTCTCCTTTTTATTCAATCCAGGAGGCCAGACCATACGAGGGTGTCACTCATAGTTAACGGTGGGTTTTTCCCTCCCCAGTTAAACCTCTCTGGACATTCCCTCAGAGACATACCCAAGCTTGTGTCTCCATGGTGATTCTAATTT